GTTGCAGTGCAGCGAGACGGAAGCCCTTATTAAGACCTGCCAGCATAGTCAGACGAAAGAAGTGGGCAAGTGATATGATGACCAAGCCTCTGGACTTTTGGAAGACTGTATTGTTCTCAGACGAATCAAAATTCGCTCAATTTGTGGACAGTGGAAGGATATGGGTCTGGAGAATGCCTCACCAAGAGTTTTGGCTCAACAGATTGCAGACAACTGTAAAGCATGGTGGTCGAAATATTGGAGGAAGGACTCTTGCCACTTTATTCCTTGGGTTTCGTGGACAAGAACACAACGTTGTTCCAGGAAGATTAAGCACCGTGTCACACTGCTAGAAACACCCAAAAGTGGCAGGAAGAAAATGGTATCCAGAAGTTGCCCTGTCCAAGCCAATCTTCTGACATGAACCCCATCGAAATCCTCTGGGCCATACTCGACCGGCAAGTCAAGAAACAACTAAAAAAACCAACTTTGAAGAGCGATCTACTCCAAGTTTTGAAGCAAGAGTGGGCGAAAATTCCACAATCTAAAATTGACAAGATGATTCTCACGATGCCCCAGAGGATCAACGAACTCCACAAAGCAAAAGGAAGATCTACTAGATATTAATTAAATTATAAAAATATCAATTCATGTGAATATGATTGAAAAATTTCATTTTTTCTGAAAAGGTGGCATCTATTTACTTGTGACCATGCTGTGTATATGTGTTTGTGTGTGTGACCTTTGTTAATGGGCAAAATAAGAGGTTTAACATTTTTAGACACAATCTACCGACTTGCATATAGGAATAAAATGGGATGAATTCAGAAATTCCTTCTGTAATTGTAAATTTATTGTTTTAAGTTGTTGCTTGTTTTCTGTTTAAAATTCAATATTTTTTTCTTTTAAAACCTGTTACTTATTTTTCTAGATTTGGGGCAAGAAATAAGCTTGTGGCTCTGGATTTCAGAACTGGTGAGCCGAGTTCAAATCCATGCAATACCACAAAATATTCCCAACTCTTTAAGCTATGGATGTATTATAAGAGTGACAGTCAATCCCTTAGTGGCTGCCTTCCATCTGAACAGTTGTTCAAAGTTAGGGACTGTGGTAGATAGCTTTAGTAGCCTTGCCGTAAATATAAGATACAAATTCTAGACTTTCCTTTGGTATAATGCTTTTTGCTACTTGTTGTTTAAGCGCTATGTACTTCTTTTAAAGCTTTTTCATTTTGTTTTCTAAACTAGAATATAATTTTTATGGATATAACATCAACATTCAAATGACTGCCACTATCTAAAACATCTGAAGAAGTGTTTTCTTCTGTGGTCTTCAATTGACTGAAATGACATAAAAGAGAACCTTTTTACCTTCTGCTTTTTCCTTGTATCCCCAAAATTCCTAATTTTGTTTATGGTAGCATTTACTTCCATCTTAGGTTGCTAAAAAAAATAATATTCATATATATTCTAGCTTAAATATATTTTTTCATTCAAAGTGTTAAGTGTTTTGCTTAGTACTTAAAAAAAAAACTACAGAAGGACTGAGTTAGAAATTACACAATATATGCACAGTTTGTAAAATCAAGTGGCTAAGCTTTACAGATACAGTAGGCAAGCCAAAATGATTCTGTTTGTTAGCTTTATGTACATCCAAATTAACCATATTATAATTGAAAATGAATGATAATGAGGGTTGTTTTGAAGTTAATCATTAAATAGGGAACAGATGAATAATTTTTATGGCTATTTTATTGCTGCAATACTGCACATTGTGCAAGGATGTTGTCAGCAGTGTCTTTCAGT